ATCATGTGATTCATAAAATAGTTGATGTTGTTGAATTAATCAATGTTAATAATGTTGTCGAATTACATGATATATATAAATTTTTCTTCATTTGATGTGTTAGATGTGTATATAACATAATCTTGCTTTGATCATAGTAAAGTTGTGAAATGTACCACATGCATCATTCTTTGCACGAAACAGTGCGCGCATACTGTTAAAGTGCTTTGATTGTTACACAGTATGGTTGAATAATATATCATTTCGTATTAAGTATTAAAAAGAAGAAAAAAATATTTAATATTCGAGTTCGACAGCCCCTCCTTGTCAGTGAGAAGGTGAATTTCTGTCTCCCCGGCATGGACTGCTGAATCAAACTGAATCATTTTTACTTAATTATAAATGATAATTATTTTTACTTTACTAATTGTGCCATCTAATACACATCTTTCCCTCTCGGGATGTGTTTATTGGATTAAATTCCATCGTTCCACCAATGGAACGATAACATCCATTGTCACTTGTTTTGTTAACGTTAATTTTTTAACATGTTGGACAATAAATGTTTTAATTCCTAATTGTTTTATAATTTTAAATGGACCTTCATATCGTATATCAAATTTATTTCTAATGTTTCTTGTTTTTACCAAAACTAGATCATTGAGTTTTAATGATAAATCTTGTCTATGTAAATCATATCGAGCTTTATATTGTTGTTGATTTTTTATAATATTGTTTCGAGCTTCATTTACTAATTTTTCGAGATATATCCTAATTTTTTGACTGTGCTCTGGATCTTGTGTGAGCGAAATAATTTCTTTTTGTTGATCAAATGGAAGTGTAACTTGTCTTCCATGCATCATTTCGAATGGTGTTTGTTTTGTTGTTGCATGTATTGATGTATTATAATTAAATGTAACAAATTGTAATACTTCATCCCAGTCTGTACGTCGTTCATTACATAAAGCGGCAATTTTTCCATCCATAGTTGCATTGAATCGTTCAATTTGTCCATTTGTCTGTGGATGATATACTGTAGAATAGAGATGAGTGACTCCAATATTTTCAAATAATTTGTTCATAACTTGAGAAGTAAAATGAGTACCATTATCGGTTAATATACATGTTGGAGTGCCATATTTTAATATAACATCGTTTATAAGAAATTTCACGGCTGTTGTTGCTGAGCAATCTCGAACAGCTTTTGTGATAACAAATTTTGATAATACATCTGTTAGAGATATAATGTATCTATTTCCTTTTTTTGATGTTGGAGTTATTGGACCATGAAAATCCATACTTAATAATTTCCATATTCCTTCTGGTGGTGGTATTGGTTTTAATTTTCCTGGTAATTTTTGACGACGATAATTATTTTGTGCACATGGTAAACATGAATCTAAATGATTTCTAATATCTGCTATCATTGTTGGCGAATAATAACGTTCTTGAATTTTTCTTATTGTTTTGTCACGTCCAAAATGAGCTCCATTAGCAGGTGTATCATGATAAATTTTTAATATATCAGCACGTATTCGTCCTGCTGGAACATATGGTACAGATAGAAATGGTAGTTGTTGTTTTTTAAATAATATTCCATCTTCAATAAAATAATGTTTTTTATTCTTAATATTCTTTTTTATTTCTTGAATTGTTTTATCTTCTTCTTGACATTTTCTTAAGTCATCCATATCAAATGGGATGATCTTATTTGGATTTTCATCTGATGGTTTGATTATCAGTTCTTCATCAGTCGCTGCTTTTCCTTGTGGGATGAGCTCATTAATTTTTTCATTCGTCGGTTTAATAGGTGGTGTTGCCATTGCTTGTTGTTGTAATTTGGCTTGAGCTCTAGTAATCGCTGTTGTTATTTTTAATGGAATCAAATTATCATTTAATGATGAAAATGATAAATCTGTTTGTGTTGATGTTGATTCATACTGAGTTCGTTCTTCAATATCTTCTTCAGCTATGTCGACTGGTGATCTTGAAAGATAATCTGCCATATAATTTTTCTTACCTTGAATATGTTTCACCTTAAATCGATATTCAGCTAATTTTAATCGCCATCGTTCACATCTTTTATTTAGTTGTTCTTTGTTTGTAAAATGAATTAATGGTTCATGGTCAGTTTCTAACATAAATTCATGTCCACGAAGATATTTGTCCCATTTTTCTATTGCTTGTACTATTGCATAACATTCTTGTTCAATTGTTGGCCACTTAGTTTGTGCTTTTGTTAATTTCTTGGACATATATGCTAATGGTCGATCACCATTGGGAGTAATTTGTAATAGAACAGCACCAATTCCATCTACAGAAGCATCAGTTTGTAATTTAAATAATAATGTATCATCAGGTAAATCGAGAATAAGATCGGTTGTTAATATTTTCTTTAGTTGGTGGAATGCTGTTCTAGCTTCAGCAGATAATTCAAATTTTAATTTTTTATTATTCTTTTGTTGTTGTACTGTTGCTGGAGAATATTGATGTAATGGTGCAGCGATGGTGGAAAATTTTGGAATAAATTTTCGGTAATATTCTGCTGCTTTGACGAATCTAAATGCTTCTTCAGCTGACGTTGGTTCACGTGTTGCAGTCAAACCACGAATGTTTTCTGGATCAGGTTTAATAGTACCTGCTTTAATTAAATGTCCAAGAAATAATATTTCTGTTCTTGCAACTTCGCATTTATCAACATTTAATTTAAAATTTGCTTCTTGTAATAATAAACACACTTCTTCAATATGTTTTAAATGTTCATTAAAATTTTGTGAGTAAATAATAATATCATCGATATAGGCGAGTACATGTTTCCATCTGTTTGGACCTAATATTTGATTAACAATACGTTGAAATGTTGGTGGTCCATTAGTAAGACCTTGTGGTAATACTCGAAATTGAAAATGTCCATCTCGAGTTGAAAATGCTGTTTTTGGTCGATCTAATTTGTCTAATGGTACTTGAAAATATCCAGCTTTAAAATCAAATTTTGTAAAATATGCTGCTTTTGTTAATTGGTCATAAATATCATCAATTCTTGGTAATGGAAAAGCATCTTTTGTTGTAATTTGGTTTAAGCGACGATAATCGACGCAAAATCTTGTTGTTCCATCCTTCTTTTTTACTAAAACGACAGGTGAAGACCATGGTGATGTTGAATGTTCAATAATTCCATTTTTTAATAATTTATCTGTTTCTTTTCTTAAGGTTTCTTGATCTTTGTTTGATTTTCTATATGGTGCAGTATGAACAGGACGGTGTGTACCAGTATCAATAGCATTTTTTAAAATTATATCAATTTTTGACGGTTCACTAATGTCAAATAATTTTCCATATTTCCATAAAATTTTTAAAATTTGTTCTCGTTGTTTATCATCGCTAATATGTTCAGTTAATTTATTTATTTGCTGTCTTATTTCGTCAGGATAACATTGATTTCTAAGATGCTTGAATAATTCATTGCTAGTATCAAAATGTTGATAACATTTACGACATTGATGTTGTTTTCCGTGTGATGCTATAGTTGGTATGTTGTTACCATTTAATTTATTTGATTTATTCGCTCCTTTCCCTTCAGGAATGAGCTCTTTACACGCTTTTCCTTCCGGAATGCGTTCTATCAAATAATTTGATGGTATGGTAACACCAATTGTAGAAGATAATTGTGTCACTATACCTAATTTGGTTCCTTCGGAAAGTGTTTGTTGTCGATTCGTTGCATTAATTATACTAATTATTATTCGTCTATTTTCAATGTTCAGTAATGCAGTTGCAGTAAATAATGCTTTATTTTTTAATCGAGGATTTGGTTCAAATAATACATCTATCATATTGTTATGTTGAACTTGTGCTTCTACTATTTTTTCTGAAAAAGGAGGAAGAGTAATATGATTAATAAGAGTAACTGGATAATTTAAAAGAGGTGGTTTTACAAAAGGAGTTGATACTTCTTTACCTCGACTTTGGATCATAATTCGTTGTTCAGGTGTAAGAATATAAACGTTGTTTGATTGAATCCAATCACTACCTAATATTAAATTCGTAACCAGATTGGTTGTAACATCAGCAATAATTGTTGTTGTTATTCCATTAACATTTATTTCTAAAGGTATTTCACCAACAATATCTAATGTTGAGCAATTTGCAGATATATGATTTATTGTTTTTGGTATTAATTTTTCATGTGGTATATCATTTAATAGTTGTTGATGTATAATAGTGATGGCCGATCCGGTATCGATAAGTGCTGTTTGTGGAGTGTTGTTGCATAAAATTTTAACAAAAATAGGATTAAATGCTGTTGTGGTTGATGACTTTTTGGCTCCACAGGGATCGTCGCCATCATCCGATCCCTTTATTCGAAAAAATGTTGTTGAGGACAATCACGTATTAGATGATTTGATTGTCCACATTTAAAGCAGCCGTTGTTCTTCTTATAAAAGCATTTTATTGTTGCATGATTGTTTTTATTGCAAATTAAACATGGATTGGATTTTTGTGTTTTATTTTCTGGATAATTTTCCCGATGTTGTTTAAGATTCATAAACTTATTTTGTTTTGGATGTGTTCGATTGTTTGTTAATGATGGTAGTTGTTGATGGTGTTGTTTATAGTAATGACGTGATGTAAAGGGCTGTCGACTCAACAATTGAAAATTCGATGGTGTTGGTTGAGCAGTTGCAGTCGGTAATATATGTTCAAAAAATGTTTTATTTTTTGTTCCAGAATATAAACCATTATGTTGTTGTTGAATTCGTTTTTGTATATATTCTTCTTCTTTTGCTAATTGCAACCATTCTTCTGGTATTTTAATTTCTTTTTCATTACGAATTAAATATTCTTTTAATGAATTTTTAACACCATTTTGTAATACTGTGATAACTTGTTGTTCAGTAATAAATTGTCGAGATTTTCTATATTTCCGAATTACATTTTCATAAAATGATATAACGGATTGGTTCTCTTCTTGATGAATATTAAAAAATTCTTGCATTAATTGACTGTTGGATGTAAATTCTTTGAATCGATCACGTATTGCTTTTTCAGCATCATTCCAAGTAATGAATGATCTTAAATTTTCTTGATACCACCGTAATGCTGGTCCTGTTAATTTGCCCATTGTTTCGAGAACTTTTGTTTCATCTTTTAATTTCATTAATGAAAATAAATTATTTAAATCAAAAATCCATTCATCAATATCGATTTCATCAGCTTCTCCTGAAAATTCAGCTATTTTCTTCATTACTTCTTTTTGGCTTGAATAAATTTGTCGAGCTTCCATCGGAGTTGTTTCCATTTCTTGCATAAATGACATATCGTTTTGTTTTTTATTTCTTATTCGTGTTGGTGAATTGGTAATTAGTTCATATGATAAAATATTTGCTCCACTTTGTTTAATCGCTCTTCTTGTACCGGTAGCCGTTGTTAAATATATATATATTTGCACTTAAAGGAAGGACAAAAAAATTTGAACTTTATATATAAAAAGATACCTTCTTATGATAATTAAATTTTAAAATTAATTTATATGTAAATATGTAATTTTTCTCTTTCCTAGAAGGATGAGATAGTACTTCACTCTTTCCGTTACGGATGAGTAAATTTATTAACCAGTTCGTTCTTCTTCGATGTAGTAAATAGAAGAAGATGGGTCACGGCACCAAATTGTTAGCTCGTTTCGACGAGCTGATGTTTATTTATTTTCCAAAATATCTGACTAGTTAAAATGTCCTTAACAACACGTACATATATATATAACAACATACAATCGAGAAAGAGGAGAAAGAGAAAAGAAAGGAAGAAGAGAAGAAATATATAGTAAGATATCAAGGGAAAGAAATGAGAATGAGTCACCGCTAACACTGGCTATAGACAATGCAAAAGTCGAAATACAGGGTGTCCCACAAGTCCTGATCACTTAACAAATGCCTATAACTCTCTTATTAATAACGATTTATCTAATAATTTTTTTTAATTTGGTAGACAAGAGTAGTAAGTTTTGTTTCACAAAGACAAGGTTCATAAATAATGTTCAAAATTATTGCCTTTGACATCAATACAAAAATTTAGACTTTTTACAGTTTTCGAAACAAAACTCATGTGGAGTTCGTTTGTTTTTTATTTCGATTTCTTTCAATATTCTACTTCTTAAATCATCTAGATCTTATACTGCTGTTCTATAAACATTTGTTTTAAGATGTTTCCATAGAAAACAGTTCAATGTTGTTAAACCTGGCGCTCGTGAAGCTCACGGTATTAGTCCACTTCTTCCAATCTACATACCATCCAAGATTTTGTTTAACTCGGAATGCATAGCTCGTGAACAAGATGTGGTTGACTCTATCTTTCCAATAAGTAATATTTATTGTCATTGATTCTTTCAAACAAGCTGTCTTTTCACTCAAACTAATCGAAACTAACAAAAATCTAATAAACGTTTAAAAATATCTTCACATAGAACGTGCCTATCAACATCATTGGACTTCTTTTTATGGGAACATCTTAAAATAAATGTCTATAGAATAGTAGTACAAAATCTAAATGATTTAGGGACTAGAATATTGAAAGAAATCGAAATAAAAAACAAACGAACTCCAAATGAATTTTGTTTCGAAAACTGTAAAAAGTCTAAATTTTTGTATTGATGTCAAAGGCAATAATTTTGAACATTATTTATGAACCTTGTCTTTGTGAAAAAAAAAACTTACTACTCTTGTCTACCAAATAAAAAAATTATTTGATAAAGCTTTTATTAATAAGAGAGTTATAGACATTTCTTAATAGATCAGGACTTTTGGGACACCCTGTATTTATCTACAAACTATTTCATCTATATGAGAATTTGAATATAGAATTAATATCGTCATTGACCATAAATCGATCATGACCATACATGAAGAAAAAAACAATTATAGAGAGGGTGATATCAACCAAGATTTACATAATAATGTTGATCCAGTAGTAGAAATACTTATACAATATAAACAAAAACCAAACAGTAATAAAATACTATGTAGAACAAAGAAATGTATAAAGCAAGATTGTTAATAGAGAAATTAAAAGAAACAATTTTCTTTGTGATCAAAGCAGTAGGCAGCAAGTCCTAACAGAAATGACAAATTTTAGTTTGATCCATATGAATATAATAATTGATGTTATATAACAATAACGAATGGCACAAAAAAAGTATGAAAAATAACATATACTTCATATACTCAAGTAAGTATATCAATATGAGGTCGCTTTTTACCATGCTGTATATTAGCGAATCGCTAGTATTCTCGATCCACTAATAATGTCGTATATCGTATTAATAATCAATGGAGTCTTTTTGTTTAGATTTGTTTTTCTGTTTCATCCTTCAACAAATAGTTTATCTCGTAAAAGATAAAAATATTTAACCACAACCAAAAGGACGGGTCCGTATAAGGGCCTATTTTGGCCCCTTTTGATTTT